AAAACAAGGATGGGCTTATCAAGTTAATTTTTTTTTGGGTGGGGTGGGGTGGGGGGATCTGTAAATTTTATAAGTTTTTCATCTATATCTCCATTTTTTCGTTGCCTTTAGTTTCATGTTTCGATACTCTCTAACTCTTTAATTTTCCCTCTTTAATAGAATTTACATATGTTGCTAATTGGATAAATCTTCTTGTTTTTAAATTTTTTACTAGATCTAGAATCAGCATCAGAAACTGGATATCGTCTCCCTCCCCGTGAGATTAGAGATATTGTTGATGCTCCACCACTTCCAGCACTATCATTCTCTCCATTGAGGGATAAAATACTGTTTCTTAAGCGGAGATCCTTGCCACCTTTGTCAGATTTAGCAAGACCTGAGGAGAAACTTGCTGGAGTCCGCATCGACGGGAAATGTAATACCAGGAGTCGCATGTGAGTAATGATGAAGCTTCTCATGATATTTCATTATTCCTTTAAGCACTCAAAGTGCTGGAGACGCTATGTTAGGTTGTTTTATTCCCTTTGGCTGTATACTTGGTGTCTCTTATGTTCTTTACATAGATTAAGTGCTCCTTGCTGGTATCATTCTTCTTCTTCTTCTTCTTCTTCTTCTTCTTCTTCTTCTTCTTCTTCTTCTTCTTCTTCTTCTTCTTCTTCCTTTTCTTCTTGTTAATTATCAAAAAGAAATGTTTTCTTGTTTTAAAGCTAGTAATTGTTGATGCCTTGATGGTGGTACTACATCAATCTTTAGTAAGCAGCTTCCACACAGGATCTTATGATGTTCTTTCTCAGGTCTTTCTATACTGGTATAGGGATCCATCACTTAATGGAAGATGGTAGCCTAGGACCGGAAAAAGAGATCCAGGGTCTCCCAGAAGGTGCTAGAATTAATTTTTTAACATGGTAATTTCCTTCTCCATACCTGTATGTGTGCGTGCTTTGAGTTACTGTGTGATGGTTTTATCTTCACAATGGTCTTACCAATTAATATGCACTTCATGTAATACTCATTTTATCCCTTTTGTTTTGGTGTAGTCCTTTCTTTATTTAAGTCCATACTGAAAAGATTGACCTCTTTCCTTGAGTTGCGAAAACAAATGTAACACATAATAACACTTTCTAGTATTACTTTAAATTTGATGTGACATTTTTATACTTCTCCAACTATTACTTATTATCTCTGACGACTCAGGCGATAATAGCACCACATTTTCTCTTAATCTAAGCAGTAGTTCCATTAGGTTTTCAAATTTGGGACAGTGAAACTTTTGTAAATGAACTTCTCCATGCATCTCAGACGCACAATTTTAAGAGCTAAAATGTATTCTTTGATGTTAAGGTAGGGTTAATCTAAAATTTTCAAAAAATTTAATGTTGGATAATAGTGTTAACTAATACTACTTTATATCAATTTTAGCTTTCTGTCATATGCTTGCACAAGCTAACCTACCTTCTCCATTTTTGTCATGTCAAATATGGCAAAATTGCACTGGAAGTCAAAAAGGTATCTTTAAACTGGTAGAGACAACCATCTGTTCCAAGATTCTAACCTCCATGGAAATGGTAACCAGCTAGTTTTTACTTTTGAAAATTCATTTAGTCACAAATGGGAGGCAGATTTTCCTAATTGAGCAAGATGACGATGAGTCCCAAGTGTTCTAAACATTCGATATTGACTAATAACTTATTCAACGTCCCTATGAAAAATGAATATCATTTCTAAGAGAAGAGATGATCTGGTAGACTGAACATCACACTTAGCTCTTGGTCAACCAGTAGATGTCATTGATCTTTCCAAAGCATTTGATTGACTAGCAATAAGTAAAACTATAAAAGCTTTTCATTTTATAGTTCAGTATTTCCTATCTAAGGGAGGATATTCTAGAGGTAAGAACCCTCGACCTCTAGCGGTAAGGTTGCGGTTTCGCATCACTAAGCTAACAAAGTTGGAAAGGGCCATTGTTCGGCTCCTAGGTAAAGTGGGTTTGGAGGTCGGAGTTTACCATATCCAAAAGAAAAAGTTCTGTGTTTACTATCAGTTACCTTACTGATTAAACCTGTACATCACTTTAATTACTAGAAGAAAACAGAAACTTCACCTAATGGGGGATGCAATGTGAAACTAGAGTAAAAAGCCTCTTTCTTTATTTTTCCTTCTAAAAAAAAGCCTCTTTATCATATTTTCCTTGCATATTCCCTTTATATATAAATGTCTCTTCAATAGAGACCTAATATACTTGTATATTTGGATCAATTATTATCTTTCCTTCTTCATCTGATTCTTTGCTTTTTTATGAAGGTCAAATAATGGTCAGCATTTAGCCTTCACTGTCCGTCTTGATGAGGTATTTTGATATATGTTTGGGTGTCTCCCTGTGAGTCTATATTATTTGTACGTTGATGTTACGGAAAACTTAATAGTAGATTTGCCTTCAGCTATTTCACTTTGTATCATTCTGATATTTTTAATGCCTAATATCACGTAAGGTCCTTTGTCACAAGGTAGATCTGATGTTTTGACTTTTTGTATCAGGATGATGGCAGCAGCAGCAAACTGAGAGTATGGGTTGCTAATGTGGATACTGGGAAAGCTAGACCTCTTTTCGAGTCACCAGATATATATGTAAATGCTGTTTTTGACAAGTAGGTCATTTTCCATACTCTGCCTGTCATTAAAAGGAAAGTCTGCTGATTCTAAGCTACATCTCCCTGTCCTGACAACTCTGTTTCTGTTATTATCAGCTTTGTTTGGGTGAATGACTCAACTCTTTTGGTATGTACCATTCCATTATCTCGTGGAGATCCACCAAGGAAACCTTTGGTTCCCTCTGGCCCCAAGATTCAATCTAATGAGCAGAAGAATGTTATTCAATCTAGAACCTACCAGGATCTGCTCAAAGATGAATATGATGAAGATCTGTTCGAGTATTATGCTACTACACAGCTGGTTTTGGCTTCTTTAGATGGGGAAATAAAGCCTTTTGGTCCACCAGCTATATACACGTCAATGGACCCATCTCCGGACCAAGCATACATTTTGTTAACCTCAACTCACAGGCCGTTTTCATTTGTTGTACCATGTGGAAGGTTTCCCAAAAAGGTTGAAGTGTGGAAGGCCAATGGAGAATTTGTGAGAGAACTTTGTGATTTGCCCCTTGCAGAAAATATTCCCATTGCATTCAATAGTGTGAGGAAAGGGATGCGATCAATCAATTGGAGAGCAGATAAACCATCGAATCTCTATTGGTATGCATACAAAAATCTATTCTAGTATATTTAGTTCACTGGTTAACAAAACTCCATGGATGTGCTTCTGGACTGCCAAAAAAAGAGAGATGAATGTTTCAGATTTGATGGGGAAAAATTAAGCTGCCTTGTTTTCCTGGTTGGTTGGGGGAAAGGGGAGTTGAATGATAGTCTTATCTAGATCTTTCTAACTGATTTTTGAGCCTATAATATGGGCTTATGACTCCTCAGATCAGAAAAGCCTAAAAGAAATATTGAGTGATTACAGATTTATATATAAGGGAGAAGAAAGGTAGATGTTGTTTGTTGTATTTTGCTCTCATGTGAAATGTGAATGACTTGTTTCTGGTAATCCACTAATATTTGGATGCTAGTACTAATCTAGTACTATAATTACCCCTTTGAAATAACAATTCATGATAGTTGCACATTGATTTGTNTATACTCTTTGATCGATCATCAGAAGATGTTTATTCTGATCCTGGTTCTCCTATGTCGCGGAGAACTCCTGCTGGAACTTATGTTATTGCAAAGGTGAAGAAGGAAGATGATGGGGACACTTATCTATTATTAAATGGAAGTGGCGCTACCCCGGAAGGAAACATTCCGTTTCTTGATTTGTTTGACATGTAGGTCTGGTGTACGTTTTTTCCCATATTTTTTCGTTTGCCGAAGAAAGTGATCTGACATGAATTCTTTCAGAAATACAGGCAGTAAGGAACGAATCTGGCAGAGTAACAGGGAAAAATATTTTGAGACTGTTGTTGCTTTGATGTCTGATCAGAAAGAAGGGGAATTGTCAATAAATAAGTTGAAGATACTCACTTCTAAAGAATCCAAAACTGAAAACACTCAGTACTACCTTCTGAGCTGGCCAGAGAAAAAAGCATGTCAGATTACAAACTTCCCTCATCCATACCCACAGTTGGAATCGTTGCAAAAAGAAATGATCAGGTATCAGAGGAAGGATGGAGTTCAACTTACTGCGACCCTATATCTTCCACCAGGTTATGATCCCTCGAGAGATGGACCCCTCCCATGCCTAGTATGGTCATACCCAGGAGAATTTAAGAGTAAAGATGCAGCTAGCCAAGTTCGAGGTTCCCCTAATGAGTTTGCTGGCATTGGGCCAACATCCCCCCTCCTATGGTTAGCAAGGAGGTGTGTCTCTGTTCTCTGTATTGTCCATCTAAATTTTGCTTGCTATAATTGTTATTTTGCCGGTGTGTCATGTTAGTCTTTTTCGGGGAACTGCTTGATTTGGAACCACAAATTTCAGGTTTGCTGTCTTATCAGGGCCGACAATTCCAATCATCGGAGAGGGTGATGAAGAGGCCAATGACAGGTAAACTTATGCACTAATAATTTAAGGATGTGACTTCTCTTTATCAGTTTGAGTAGCAGTAGGACTACTTGACTAAATCTGTTTAATGATCATTGGTCTACTAGTGGAAAAACTGGGTTTGTCTTCTTGCTACAAATACGGCAACAACAAATAATAAGACCAATCTCAATCTAGTTGGGCCTAGCTGCATGAATCCTCACTATCCCTTTCACTCCGATATGAGTGTCTCATTTCATTATTTTGATATTTAAAAATTTAGTTTCTCTAACACAGTCTTGTGAAGAGCGTGAAGCGAGAAAAAGCGACAAGTCCCTTTTCGCTTAAAGCGAGAAGCGAAGCGTTCGCTTTTTTGTAGTGAAGCGGAATTTAAAATAAATACTGCATAGACAACTAAGAATAAATGATATGAAAAAAATGACAGTAAGTATGCCAAAAAATAGCAGTATAACTGAAACGAAAAATGGGCAGCATTTCGCTACAATTTATCACTAAAACAGTGAAAGAAAATGAAGAAAAAGAAGAGAATGAGAAAAAGAAGAACTGAAGGGGAAAAAAAATTTCGCAGCATTTCGCTGCTATTTGGACACTGAAATAGTGAAGGAAAAAGAAAAAGAAGAAGAAGGAGGAGGAGGAGGAGGAAGATATCACATACCTGGGACCAAACTTGATGATCTTGAAGTTAAAAAAAGAGAGCCTTTTTAATTAATTAACATTGGCAGCCCAAATATAAAGAGAAGCGCTCGCTTCTGTCGCTCTCGCTTCTCGCTTTTTCAGGGGAAGCGCTTGCTTTTTTGTACCTGATACGCTTCAGATCAGAGAAGCGCCAGATGCCTCACTTTGCATCGCTTCTCGCTTTAAGCGAGGAAGCGGCCGATTTTAACAACACTGCTCTAACATAAGAGGTCTTTTACGTTTTCTATTGAAAATTGACATACAAACCCCCCAAGAAGATTAATTAGACTCCTAGCAAATTTTTGATCGATGAAGCATAGTCACAAGACTAAGCTTTAAGAGCAGAAGTGTGATAAAAGGTATAAATCCAATTTATGTTTTTTTTTATAAGTGAAAAAAATCTTTAATTCAATGGTAATCAGAGGTTTAAAATCAAAGGTTTAAATCTAATTCATTTGAGAACTTAATGAGTGGGCACACCTCATTTATGAGAAACCGAAATGGAAGCAGGGGTGCTTCACGGTCAAGTGAAAGCAAGCTTAGAGCACCTCTAAAGAGAAATGTGAATTACATTTTTTTTGTAAGTGAAATATGTTATTCCTATTTGGGCCAAACTCGAAGAAATATTGCAAATGTCAACAAGGAAGCAAAAAAGACACATTTGCTAGGGACAATGCTAGTTTTTTTTTTCTAATGACGGCAGTGTTCAGGTCAGCCTCAACCAATTCACCAGGTAGCCTGTTAAATGTCTACAAGCACATGTGTCGAGTAAACATGCCCAACAATGATCGAGCAGTTGGGCTTACAATAATTGTTATAGCAGGGTATGAACTTGGGATCTCCTGATTGTTACTCCTGTGCCTCAACGACTACCAAATGCCCTTCTGATTGTTACTCCTAATCTCCTATGCCTCAACCACTTACCTATGCCCTTGGGGACTTTGTTTGGGAATTTGTTCTTGTTGTTTTATCTGGTAAAACTTACAGCACAAATGAGCATCCACAAGTGAAATCCTGCTCTCCCAGGTTCTTCCACTCTTTGTAAATGCTCTATTGGAAAATGGAAAATGCTGTGACTAGCTACCGCCTTTCATCTTAGATTTCCCTTTCTTTTGCATGTTTTGCTTTCAGTTGCATCTTGATCAGTTAGCCCTCGTGTTCTGAGCTGTTGGTGTTCTGCACTTTGTTATGAAATGAGTAAAACTGCATAGTGCATACTGAAAGTTTGATCTTTATATTATTCTTATGAATCACAGCATGAAAGGCGGTCCATGTGAAAGTTGCTTGTTGGAGCGCATATTGGACTTCTCCATCAAAACCACGGATTTAGTTCTTCTAAACAAAATTCACTTTGCATGAGTATCGTGCTAACCACAGATACTGTTGGTGTATTAGTAATTTGTAGAGTTAATGATTTTGGGAGTAGTTTGAATATAAAAAACTCCGCAGTAATATGCTGAATACCATGCCGCATCTACCTACTCTACTGAAGTTCTTCTGCGTAAAATTTTGTGCCCATGTGGTTGCTGACAAGTGATGAAGCATTATTAAACCCTTTCTTTCTCTTTGTTGCTTTTATTTTGGGGGTGGGGGTGGGGGGAGGGATGATGTCATGGGCTGTTGACTGGACTTGCTTCCTTCAGCTGCTCCTTGTAGATAGATTATTGATGTTCGGGGACTAATTTTAAGGATAAACCATGTCTCTGTCTTGTGATGAAATGGATTCCTTTACTTTTCCACCTGCAATTTGGAGGTTTGGGTGTTTATTGATTAAATCTTGTCTTAACCAGGTACATAGAACAACTTGTTGCAAGTGCTGAGGCTGCAGTGGAAGAAGTTATACGCCGTGGAGTAAGCTTTTTCTTCTTCCCGCTGAACATATGTTGCGTGAAACTTTGGAGTTACGGCTGAGCTCTGTGGTGCTTTGTTTTTTAGGTGGCCGATCCAAACAAAATTGCTGTTGGTGGTCATTCCTATGGGGCATTCATGACAGCAAACCTCCTTGCACATGCACCTCATCTTTTCTGTTGTGGAATTGCTCGGTCTGGTGCTTATAACAGAACACTAACACCTTTTGGGTTCCAGGTAATCCTCCCAAGTCATGTGTAAGGTCAATAAGTCTAAAGTCCTAATGACTTGGTGTTTCTCTCTGCATTCTAGGAGGATTATTTCATTAACTTACTTTGCTAAGAACTTATTTGTTTATCTTTTCAGAACGAGGAGAGAACACTTTGGGAGGCGACCAATACTTATGTTGAGATGAGCCCTTTTATGTCAGCCAATAAGATTAAGAAGCCTATCTTGCTTATCCATGGGGAGGAGGACAACAATCCAGGAACCTTGATGATGCAGGTAAAATGACAGTCCTCTTGTTCTTATTCTTCTTTCAGCATCTTGTTTCAAGAGCCATATTTTCCGTGAATGTTGCCTGTCACCTAAAGTAGGCAAGTTAGTTGCAAATGTTCTTGATTTACTCCGTAAGTATGCTAGTTCTTCCTAGATTTATCTAATGAGTTTGCTAGCCTTGACTTCAAGAGTCTTGATCTTAAAAACTCTTTTCGTTTTGCTTAAAATATACAGTCAGATCGTTTCTTCAATGCACTTAAAGGTCATGGTGCACTTTGTCGCCTTGTAATTCTTCCATATGAGAGTCATGGTTATGGAGCACGAGAGAGTATAATGCATGTACTCTGGGAGACTGATAGGTGGCTCCAAAAGCATTGCGCCTATTCTTCAGATGTCAAGGCAGATCTCAATGCGTGCAAGGACAATGCAGAAGGGACAGTAGATTCACAAAGCAAAGCTGTTGGTGCTGCTGGAGGTGTTCAAGAGCTTGCAAATTTGGATGATGACAAATTTCACTCTATCAGAAGGTCATTATTGTGGTAATTTCTTATTTCATGAAATATCTTCATATGTTCTAAAATTTCTCGTATCAAGAACTTGGTTCTTCTGTCATGGAAATCTAGTCAAGTTGATTGATTGTTTGCTTGAATAAAGTATAACTTCTTGATTCCCCACGTTCGGCACATGTGGAGAATTTCTGTTCAAGAAGGCGCTTTGTGTTTTAGCATGGCTAAATGCAGTCTCGTTTTGTTTTTATTATCCATGCCAATTAATTTGACAGACTACTTGAATCTGCACTTTATCGCTCAATAACCAAGATTTGGCAGACCCACACATAGTTTTGTCATTCCTTTTTATTATGATAAGTCATGGACCTTCATCCTTGGAAATGCCTTGAGAGCTTTTAGATCTCCATTCCAATAGTTGATATGGTAGTGGTTTGGGAACCTTCTCAAATTCATTGGCTACGGTACACTTCGTCTATGCTCAGTATGGAGTTAGATTTACATAGAGATTGATGCTTTGCTTTCTGTATTAAAGATTCAAGGGGTTGATTGGTTTGAAGAATAGGAAGGAAAGGTTTGATGCCATTTATTTATTTTCGTGGATTTACATAGAGATGGGTGCCTTTTTAGGTGGAAATACACTGTCGCATTTATTAATACTCCTTTTTACTTTTCCGTCCATTCTTACCAACCTACCAGCAGATTCTCTCAAATGCCTCCCTTTTCCCTTTTCCCATAATTGTCCAAATGCAAGTGCCTTGAATGACCACCATTATTTCTAGTAACCTTCTTAAATAACAAGGTTACAGCATGAGTAGCTGCTACGCCTATCTGCTACATCTTTATACTCTAGCAATGTACTATGCATAATTGGTGATCATGTTATTCACCGGAATTTATACTCTCATCTCTCTTTCTTTTCTCAAGTTGCCCATCGTTGTTTCTTGATTTGTAGATTTCATGGTGACAAACTACCTGGAGATGAAGCCAGGAGTCACTGATAAGGTCCGCCTGTGACCACTTATACAGCAATTCTATTGCAACAATAAGTACCCTGATGAAGGAGTGCAGGTCAGTTGTTTTCATAAAACGCTGTGCTTCTTTAATGTCATGGACAGTGATGGCCTCATGGGTGACTATACTGCGTTCTGCTTTGCGTGATTACAATTTAGAAGTGTAAAGCTATTGTTTACTAATTACAGGGACAGTTCATATTGGATATTGTAAACATCTTTGTCTGTGTACAGCAATTAGAAATTGTTTATTGAATACTCAATATATTACTGGGTTGTGATTTCGTTTTAACTTTTTATGCTGTTTTCTTATTTGGCTTCTAACTTCAGACAATTTTTTTTGGGGAAGTCCCAGAGTGCTGCACTCAAATTAAAATGCAAGAAATTAAAAAATAGCCAGATTTACAACTAGTCGTTCAAAAATAGTCCAGTTTCAAAAGTAATCGAAATTTAGCCACTTTTTATGTAAAGATAAATCTGAGCGAAAACACTGTTCAAAACCCGGAAAATACGCTAGTATATTATACTGGAGTTCCAGCATAAGTATGCTTGAACTCTAGCATATTATACTGGAGTTCTAGGATAAGTACTTATCCTGGAACTCCAGCATAATATGATGGAGTTCCAGCATAAGTGCACTAGAACTCCAGCATAATATATTGGAGTTCCAGCAAGTATAATTGTCCAGTATAATATACTGGAATTTGGAGCACCGGTGCTCCGGTCTCTAGTATATTATACTGGAGTTAGCAAAGTATAGCGGTTCAGCATAATATACTGGAGTTCATACACAGGTGCACCGAACTCCAGCATATTATGCTGGACCGGTCTCTGTTGCAGCAAAATAGTGGCTATTTTTCATTGACTTTGTAAACACTGGCTATTTTTGAATGACCAGTCCGAAAACTGGCTATACTGTGCTATTTTTACAATTAAAATCCGACTTTCGTGGCACATATAGAAGCACGTAATAACTTTAGTGGTGAAATAACATAATAAAAGAAAGAAGAATATGTCAAAGAAAAGAAAGAGAATTTTATTGATTTTGAGATTGAATTACAATGGGATAAAATCCCTCTATTTATAGGGGAAAAATAATTTAGTCACAAAGTAACAAACTCCGTAAAAGATAGATACTTAGAATACAGTTCTATTTATAATACTCTCTCTTGAATGTCTATTCAACAAATAACGTGCCTTGTTAAAATCGTAACTAAATTAAAATTCAGTGGGAAAAAAATTCTAGTGAAGGAAAAAGAGTACGCATGTTTAGAAATACGCCTTTTGGTTGCCTCGTTAAAAACCTTGCAAGGAAAAGAGACAAAACCTTGTAAGGGAAAAAGAGTACAATACGCATTAACTTCCCCTGATGAGAGCACCAATTCACATCCTTGAGCATTCGTATCCCAATCTTGTACACTAGCTTCTTGAAGGTTGATATCGGTAGAGATTTGGTGAACAAATCAGTCATATTATCACTTGAACGAATCTGTTGCACATTGATATCACCATTCTTTTGAAGATCATATGTGAAAAATAACTTTGGTGAAATGTGCTTTGTCTTATCTCCTTTTATGAATCCTCCCTTCAATTGGGTTATGCATATTGCATTGTCTTCATACAAAATCGTGGGTAGCTTGTCACGTTTCAAACCACATTTTTCTCGAATAAGATGTATTATAGACCTCAACCACACACATTCTCGACTTGCTTCATGAGTAACAATTATCTCAGCATGATTAGTTGAAGTAGCTACGATTGATTGTTTGGTCCATCACCAAGATATGACAGTGCCTCCATATGTAAACACATAACTTGTTTGAGATCGAGCCTTGTGTGGGTCAGATAAATATCCAACATCGACATAATCAACAAGATCGGGACTGCAATAATTGTCATAAAATAAGCACATATTGGTAGTCCCTTTTAGATACCGAAATATGTGTTTGATTTCATTCCAATGTCTCCTTGTAGGAGAATGGCTATATCATGCTAAGACATTAACTGAAAAAGTTATGTCACGCCTTGTTGCACTAAGATATGACACTTCAGGACCAAGAAGCTCTTCATTCTTTTCTTGAGGTCGGAACAAATCCTTATTCACATCAAGTGATCGAACAACGAGTACTTAATGGATGCACTCCATCCATGTAAAACCGTTTCAATACCTTTTCTGTGTATGCATATTGATGAACCAAAACCCCATTTGTCAAATGTTCAATTTGCAAACCGAGACATAATTTTGTCTATACGAGATCTTTCATCTCTAATTCCTTCTTTAAATAATCAGTTGCCTTTTGGAGTTCTGTAGGAGTTCCAAAAGGTTTATGTCATCAACATATACGACAAGTACAATAAATTTCGACGTTGTTTTCTTTATAAAAACACATGGACAAATGACATCATTTCTATAACCTTGATTTAATAAATACTCACTAAGGCGGTTATACCACATTCTTCCTGATTGCTTTAGACCATACAAAGATCTTTGCAATTTGATTGAAAACATTTCCTGGGAATTTGAATTATGTGCGTCAGGCATTTTAAATCCTTCGAATTTTTTTTATGTGTATCTCATTATCAAGTGAGCCATAAAGGTAGGTTGTAACCACATCCATTAAATACATGTCGAACTTTTCATGGACAACAAAACTAATAAGATAACGATACATTATTGCATCCGTAATAGGTGAATATATCTCTTCATAATCGACACCAGGCCTTTGTGAAAATCTTTGTGCAACAAGGTGTGCCTTATATCTTTGTATCTCAATTTTCTCATTCCTCTTATGTACAAAGACCCATTTATAACCAACATGCTTAACACCGTTAGGTGTTTGGACTACAGGCGCAAAAACTTCATGTTTCGCAAGTGAATTCAACTTTTATTGGATTGCTTCTTGCCATTTCAGCCAATCACGTCTCCAACAGATTGAGGTTCAAGATCCTCACTATCTTGCATAATGCTAGATGCAATGTTATTTGTAAAGACATAATCCACCATTATGTCCAATCGATTCAAATTCATCTCAGTATCAATTGGATTTATCGATAGTTCATTATTTTCTTGAGTCTCAGGCTTAGTAATTTCCTCATGAATCTCAGAATTGATTTCTGTAGACTCTTTTGGTGTCATCCTGATCATTTCTTTTTCTTTTTATAGGATTTCAATCCTTAGAACCCAATGGTCTACCACGCTTTAGGCGTGCGATATGGATGTGCTACAGGCACATATACTACACATCCAAAATTCTTAAATAAGATATATTAGGTTCATGGCCTAAAACTAATTGCAACAAAGAATATTTATGATAATTTATCGGTTTGATACGAACTAGCATTGCTGCATGCAAAATAGAGTGGGCAACCTCGTTTTCATGAGTAATGGTTTTGCTATCAATTGCAGGCGTTTAACCAAAGATTTTACAAGGCCATTTTGAGTGTGGACATGAGCTACAAGATGTTTCACTTTTATCCCAATTGATAAGCAATAATCATTGAATGCTTGTGATGAAAATTTAGCAGCATTATCAAGTCGAATAGACTTAATTGGATTATCGGCGAACTATGTCCATAATCGAGTTATTTGTGCCATTAATTTTGCAAATGCCAGGTTGCGAGATGACAATAGGCAAACATGAGACCATCTAGAAGATGCATCTATGAAGATCATAAAATATCCAAACGACCCACTAGGTGGGTGAATAGGTCCATAAATCCCCTTGTATACGTTCCAAAAATATAGGGGACTCAATCCTAACCTTTGTTGGTAATGGTCTAATGATTAATTTGCCTTGATAACAAGAAGTTCAAGAAAATTCATTATTTAAAAGAATATTTAAATTCTTTAGTGGATGACCATTTGAGTTTTCTATAATTCGTCTCATCATAATTGATCCAGGATATCCCAATCAATCATGCCAAAGCACAAACGTATTAGAATCAGTAACTTTTGGTTTACGATAGAATGTGCCTCAATTGTACTGATTCTTGTCCAATACAGGCCATAAGATAAAGATGAGAACTTCTCAATAACCTTTTTTTGACTAGAGACATGCTTGGTAACGATGAGATATTCAAGATTATTCTCATTTATTGTCTCAATATGATATCCATTTCGGCGGATATCTTTAAAACTCAACAAGTTCCTCCTGGGCTTGGAGGAGAATATTGCATTATCTATGATAAGTATTGTTCCCCTAGGTAGAGTTATAGTAGCTCTTCCACAACCTTCAATTAAATTACTACTACCAGAATTATAGTAACATTTGCCTTACACACACTTAAATGAGAGAGATATTTCTTCCCATGCTTGGACATACAAAAAGAAATATGCGAATAAACATTAGTATTGTCAGAGAAAAAGCAAAAGAAACAAAGTTAAATCAATGATTCAATAATAATTTTTTAATGCAATTTCGAGCAAACTCTGATTATAATACAAACAATTACGTAGCTAAAAGTAATGCAATTATGAGTGCACTACGCAAATGACTAATACAACTACAATAAATTTATTTTCATGTATAAGTTATTTGCTTTTGTACCAGTTTAAAATCATATATTCGATCATATACTACTAAAATCTTGTTAAGCAACACTTCGTTCGATCTGGATGGCTCGTAAATAGTAATACATTTTAAAAAGTCTAATTACTGGATGTGTTTTTGTACTATTCACAATTTATTTTTCAAAGTTCCTGTTAATTGATAGTGACTGGAAATTACAAAATTTTATAATTTTCAAAAGAGGACGTGTACTTCCGTGGGGTATGTCACACACTTCACTACTGTCATTTTTTCAAAAATTCTCATTTAATTTCTTTCCCGTTAATAATTCTCCCTCAATTCTTAACGTCAAAATTGTCACGACCCAATCTTCCCTCTGTGAGAGATCGCGACGGCACCTAGTCTCTACGACTAGGTAAGCCTAACAATTGCGGAAAACAACAAATGAAGAATAAATCTAAACCACTAACAGTACAGTAATGAAACAAATGACAGAAAGACCGTTTGACATATACAAAAGCAACTCCCAAAAATACATACGGAACTTTCCCCAAGACCCGGAACATCATAAGTCACAAGCTTCTAAGAATTTACTAAAAGTTTTATACACCAATGTTTAGAAGTAATAGGGGAACAACTACACAAAAGATAGAGGGGGACTTCTAGGTCACCGGACGCAGTAGATGTCCCTTGAAGTCTCCGTAACAACAGCAGGTGCACAACTAATAGCGAGGCTGGAATGATGTACCTAGATCTGCACATAAAAAGCATGTGTAGAAGAGTA